GCGGCGTGCTGCTTTGTTGCACGTCCTATGCGGCGTCCTATGGACGAAAACAGTTGTTGTTCGCCAAGGATTTGTAGTCTCAAGAACAGCACTTCACGGCAGCACACAGATGCCAGGATAGGCCTCGCGAGTGCGCGGGCGGCCTCTAGGCAGGCAAAAGTGCGAGGACGTGGGAGTGACCGCTACACAGGGCGTCTATGCCGGCCACGTTGTATCACATCACAGATTTATTCATCAACGACTGGCAGTCAAAAGTGAACTAAGCTGTGAGGACGGCTCCAATAGCGGGTGCACGGCGTGCTGCCCACGCAGAGTGCCGCGGCAGGCAAAACAGAGCAAATCGTCGTAACAAATTTGCGCTGCGACACTGGAGAAGACCGCGGTCGGGACGTCTCTCAAGTGCAATGCCAAAGGAGCAGGGAGCTAAAAACGATCGCGCGCGGCCAACCTCCAACCACATGCGGTTCTAAAGGTGACAGCACACGATGCAGAAAAAATGCGGCAATCGTCGCAACGCCCCCTTGGTGTTGGACGGGGTGCTGGCGCGCGCTCCACCTGCAACCACAGTCGGCTCTATAGGTGGAGGCGGCGCACACATGGACGAAAACATATCCGTATCCGCGGCCTCGCGGGCCGGGCCCCTGGGCCACAACCCCGCGGATGCGAGGCGCTTTTTCGTGGATGGCCCGCGCGAAACATATCCGCGCGACCGCGTATCCGCGGGATCGCGCCCCGGAATCCAGACTGCGAGGCCGCGGATACGGATACGTTTGTCGCTCGTAATCAACGCTGGGGTTCGTGTCGTGCCGACGCGGCGATGACCCTGGCGCGGGCTTTCAATGCTATATGTTACCCAGAGTCGGCCAAGATGGAACGACCTGGCGATCGAAACGCCGCCGATCCTCCGAGTTTTAACGATCCGCGCGGCGTGTCGGGAGCCAGCGCTGACGCCGTCACGACATGGAGCCTGTCGTGCCCGTGGCTTTCAGACTTGCAGCAGCACGGAGGACTCACATGCTGCCGTACAGCAGGCACATACGATGATACATTTTGCTGTAAGAAATCTTGGGGCACCCTCTTCGTTGATTTCTGGGGGTCCCAACCGTGCCCCAGAGCTTCTGTGGGCCCCTGGGGCCCTCGGGGGATGAGAACTTCCCGGGTGGCGCCTGCTGGCAGGCCGAACTCTTTGACCCGACGTGGCGGACAGACATGCAACACCACGATCGACCCCGACCAGGGCTGTCGACTTGTCTTTCTGTGGCACTTCTCGAGCCAGATCGAGCTATGATGGTCCGGGGGCTGGAGCCTGGCTTAGATGCTCGTTTTGGGTACCCTCCTGGGGCCCACCTACCAGATCAGTCTGACTCTAGTTCGACCCCAGCTTTGACTCAAGTGCGACCCAAGTTCCACCCAGGCTCGCCTCGGGTTCGACAAAGGGTCGCCTCAGATCGGCGGCTGTTCGGCGCAGCTTCGACGCACGAGCGGCTCGAGCGGTTCCAGGAAGGCCCCCTCGAGTGAGCGCCCGGCCCGGCGAAGACGCCCGTCTTGGGCACTGCGCCTCGAGGCCACTCTGTGGCCTTCGGGCCACACCGGGGCCAGCCGGCGAGAGCGGGCCCTGGTGCGGGCGATCGGCCTCGCCCCCCTGGTGCCCTGTGCCTGTCGGCTTCTTCGGCCGGCCAACCCCAGGCTTCCGTCCTGCCCTCCTACAGGAGGAATTTCCAAAAATAGTTAAGAAAATACTCTGGGGACCATTCACTGAGCATGTTTTTGGAGTATTTTTGAATATTTGTTGGGTATTCTAAATTTGTCATCCAAAATCCCCCTGTAGGGGGGCACGCCCGACTTAACCCAAGACGTGCATGTTGTGTTTTTTTCAGCCTGGGCTGCCCAGGAGTCCCGACCCCCTGCTCCTGGGCCGGTCTCCCGGAGCGCGGGCCCCCGGAGGCCGACAACGGCCGAGAGCCCTCCGTGCTGCTCTTGTCACGGCGCGAGCATGTCTGCGAGGGCCTCGGCGTGCAGAGTCCCCAGACCCCCTCGAGTCATGAAAAAATCACGACGAGAGGTTTTTCGCTATTTTCGGCCTCTGGGGGCCCTTACCGGCCCTCAGGACCGTCAAAAAACGACTCAGGATGAAAAGCCGGTCCTGGGGAATGGGTCTGGACCTCTGGGGGCCGCGTCATGAAAAAATCATGACGTCGGGGGTCTGGGTCTGGAAACGCAGCAACACCGACGTATGGGTTTTTCAGTGCAAGGGATCTCTGCGTCGGCTTCCCCGGTCGGCCACCGCAGGCGTGCAGCGCTACGACCCCGCCTTCGCGTCCTTCGCGGCCGGGCAGTTCCGGCAGGTGCAGGACCCGGGCCCTCTGGTCGAAGAAGAAAAAACGCTACATACATAATTGTCCGACGCCCCGCGCTGTTTTCTTGGATCCGCGCTGGGCTCCCCCAGCGGCGCCTCCGGCGCCGCCCCTGGTGCGCTCCGCGCGCCAGGGTGGGGGGTCTGGCGCAGATCCAAGAAATCCGCGCGGATTGGCGACAGTTTAGGTTTATGCCGTTTTTTTGTTTTCCTTCTTCTTCTTCGTCTTCTTCTTCTTCTTCTTCCTCTTCCTCTTCTAAACCAAGGCAGGGCTGGCCAGGACTTGGTGAATGGCAGGTTTCTCGGGCGCGACACTTCCGGGCGGGGCTATATAAGACGAGGATGAGAATCCCTTCCAGAGCGTTCCCCGGAACGCTCCCAGAGAGCGTTTTCTGGAACGCTCTGAGGGGCCCCCGGCGCCCGAGACATCCTTTCAAAGCCGCCAGATCCCAGAGATTCTCGAGGTAAGCATCCTCACCCGAAGGTGTCCTCGTCCACTCCTCGTCTTACCAAATGCCCTGGCTTGCCCATGCGCCCCTCGTTCGGAGGGCCCTGGCAGGACACGATGGTGAAGCTGTGGCTGGCCCAGGGCACCGCCCTGCAGGCCGGAAGAGTCAACCTTCCCTCGCTCATCGCCTTGTCGGGCCCCCCAGGGCCCTAAGGTTATAGTCGCCCTTTTTCCGAGCCGGGCGTTTTCGCGTCCATGCGGGCCCCGGGACCCTCACGGATCGATCCGGCTCGACAGATGCACGAGGAAGAAGAGTGGGGGGCTGAGATGCACACCAATCGACAGGAGATGCTGAGGAGCACCAGTCTAAAGTATCTAGACGCCTGAGATCGGTCTGCTACCAGAGCTGCGACCAAATCATTATATGCACTCTTTCGCTTTCATAAGAGACGGTGTTGGTTTTCTGTACTTCTGGCGCTCTGGTCGCGATGCTTTTTGTGATGCTGCCGTGTCTCCGCGACGTCGGATCTCAGGGGATCCCGCTGCCTGTCCCTCGTTTTCGCCGCCCAATAGGTCCTCGCGGCCACGGCCGGGTTCGCCTCGAGGTTCTGGTCAGGGCGCGCCCTGGAGAAGTCCGGGGATTGTCAAGTCGGACCTGTCCTTCTGCATGAGGAATATTCAAAAAATATCAATGATACCGGAGAAAAAAAACCCAATCAGGGCTATAGGGCTAGGGGACTATAGGGTTATAGGGCTATTGAGCTATAGGGCTATAGAGCGAAAGGGCTATAGACTTGTAGGGCTATTGGGCTATTGGGCTATTGGGCTATAGAGCTTTCGGGCTATAGGGCTCAGGGCTATAGGGCCCCCGGGCACCCCCGGGCACCCCTGGGCACCCCCGGGCACGCCCGGGCTCCCGGGCACCCGGGCACCCGGGCACCCCGGCACCCCCGGGCACCCCCCGGGCACCCAGGCCCCGGGCACCCCCGGGCACCCGGGCACCCGGGCGTGCAGCGAAAATCGGCTACAAACCTAACCTAACCACATGAATCCACCAGGACCCCTACAGATGCAAGCTCTGATTGGGGAATAAGCATAGTCTGGTGACGATTTTTTGGCTATTTTTTCTAGTCTTGAGTACTTGCGCCAATGTTTCGTTCAATTCCTCCAACATCCGCCTGCAGGAGGACAGGTCCGGACCTGCCCGACCGAAGGGGAGTGTAATGGTATACAGGGGTGCTTTTTGGCCTCCTCACGGGCAGGGCGGCGCCGAGCGTCCGGGGGGCCCTGCGGAGGGCCCCCGCGGGCAGGGCATGGCGGCCGACGTGGCCGAGCACTTCAAGGACGGAGCGGGCCGAAAGGAGATCGATCGTCGACCCCAGACCCCCTCGAGTCATGAAAAAATCACGACGGAAGGTTTTCCTTCATTTTCGGCCTCACCAGGCCTCGGGACCGTCAAAAAACGACTCGGGATGAAAAACCGGTCTCGGGGAATGGGTCCAGACCTCTGGAGGTCGCGTCATGAAAAAATCATGGCGTCGGGGGTCTGGGACTGCAGCTGGGGTGGATTCTGCTGGGGTGTGGTCTGCGAGTGGCGCCGTGGGGGCTCGCTCGGGGGCCATCGCGATGCGCCAGAGGTCTGATGTGAGCCCTCGTCGAGGCGCGCAGAGATCTAGGTCGAGGTTCTTGCTCGCCCCTCCAGGCGCGGCTTGCAAACCACACCCTAAGGGTGTGGTTTGCAAGGCGCGCCTGTCAATTAGTGGCGAAGCGTCCGTCCTGGCTCGCCTATAGGCCCACCAAACAATGCTCGTAGAACATTTTTTGTGGTCTGCAACGGGCTGTTCTCAGAGCATTCCCGGCTGAGACCGTCTTGGTTTATTCAACACCTCGAGTTTCTGCTCTAAGAGCACTGCTTGGTTCTTGGGGCACTCTTGGCCTCTGAGCAAAGGGCTCGTGGTGGGCCTCTCTGGGAGTGATCGCGCCCTTCTCGGGGGGCCCCCAAGACGACGGTGCGGTGGCCACACCGTGCGGTGAGCCAGTGGGGATCCGGGGTCCCTCGCCCTCATTCTTCCAGACCTTCCGTGCCGACCTTCCACAATCATGCGCTTCGTGAAATGCTCAATTTTCTTGCGTTTCCTGAGGCTTCCAAGAGTTTCAGTGCATCACCTTCCGCGCCTTCCGCAGAGGTCCCCTCCGGGACCGGCTGCTCATCCTGAGCAATCCTTGGCGGTCCCCTGCAGGGCCGGGCGACGGGGCCCAGGGGACGAGCAATAGCAAAGGAGCCTCCCGCCGCGAATCTCTCACGCCTCGAGGGGGGTGAGGGAAGGAGCTCCTCCTCCTCCTCCTCCTCCTCCTCCTCCTCCTCCTCCTCCTCCTCCTGGTGGAGGGGCCACCGCACGGCTTCGGGACTCGGGCCGTGCTCCGAGGCGGCCTCGGGCGACCGGGGGCCTATCCGGGGTCCCGAGACCGTGCGGGTGACGGACCGTGCGGTGAGGTCTTCCCAGACCCCCGACGTCATGATTTTTTCATGACGCGACCTCCCCAGACCCCCTCGAGTCATGAAAAACTCACGACGCGAGGTTTTTCGCTATTTTCGGCCTCCCGGGGCCCTTACCGGCCCTCGGGACCGTCAAAAAACGACTCGGGATGAAAAAATCGGTCCGGACCTCTGGAGGTCGCGTCATGAAAAAATCATGACGTCGGGGGTCTGGGTCCAGAGGTCCGGACCGATTCCCCGGGACCGGCTTTCCATCCCGAGTCGTTTCTTGACGGTCCCGACGGCCGGTGAGGGCCCCCGGAGGCCGAAAATAGCGAAAAACCTCTCGTCGTGATTTTTTCATGACTCGAGGGGGTCTGGGAGGTCTTGGGGGGATCTCGAGGTCACCGCGCGGTGCGTCACCGCACCGTGTCGGGGGCCCCGAGAGCCTTCGGAGTCGCCGAGTGTGGGCGGAGGCGGGGGGCGTCGTTTTTCGGGCCTCGCTGTGGGGGCCGCGCGGGCGGAGGGCTGCGCGGGAGCGAGGGCGCGGGCGGGGGTGGAGTCGGGCCTGTCCCCCTACAGGGGGTACGACCACCAGCTCTCAGGGGACCAACACCTCCTCCTCCTCCTCCTCCTCCTCCTCCTCCTCCTCCTCCTCCTCGTCCTCCTCCTCCCCCTCTTCAGTTTCCATCGAAAATAGAAGATACCCCCAAAATGCCAGAACAAGTAATATTTTGTTGGGTATGTTCTGACCTTCTTGGGGTGTTTTTTGGGGTACTTTTTTTTATTTTTCGTGGAAAATATCCCTGTAGGGGGACGCGCCCGACAGAAGGCTGGGGAGGGGTTGAGCCGGGCCTGTCCCCCTACAGGGGGAGCTTCGCCGAACAATAAAAAGATACCCCCCAAACTGCTCAAAAGATAGTCCAAAGATAGTCTGGGGTCTATTTTTTGAGTATCTGTTGACCTTCTTGGGATATTTTTTCTGGGGCATTTTTTATTTGTCGTGGACAATCCCCCTGTATGGGGGACACGCCCGACATAAGGCTGGGGAGGGGAGACAGGGCAGGGCAGGGGGGGTAGTGATCGGTCCGACCTGCAACAGCTGCAACGGTTGCAAGATTCGGAAGCTGGGCGAGGGCTGCTAAAACCGTGGCTGCTAAAACGGCCCTTCCGGAAGGAAAAAACAACTTCCCGGAATGAGGCGCGGCACGCGAAACAGTCAACGGGCTTCTTCCCGGAAGGACGAAGACAACTTCCCGGAGGTCGATTTTAGCAGCCACGGATTTAGCAGCCCTTGCCCGGCTTCCGAAAGGTGGTCGCAACGCCCGCAAGGGGGTCGCAAGGCCGCCTGCGGTCAGCCCGCATAGTAAGGATGGGCAATGTTCCTAAGGGTACCCTCGCACCCTTGCCTTCTCGGCCCATGCTTGGCCACTTTCGTTGGCCGCGCCCCGCTTCAAAAGCTTCGACATGGGCGTCCAAGGCCCTTTCATCCTCATCGCGCATCCTCATGCTACAGGCCGACTGTACTTGCTCCAGGTCAGAGTAAGTCAGGGCACCCCACTTGGAGCCGCCAGGTGGACTTGCAACCCACTTGCAGGTGCCTTGCAAGTGGGCTGTAACAGCCACCTTGCAGCCCTGCAGCTGTGGCAGGTCACAGTGGCCACTGCAGCAGGGCCAGCTGCGCAGCCGAGGCAGGGAGCGGTGCAGTACCACCCCTGAGATCCTGGCGTCGCGATCTTGCGCAACGGGCGCTTCCTCGTCGGGCTTCGGGCCCCTTGGGCCCTCGCACGGCGATCCGGCTCGAGGCATGGGGCAGAAAGATGGGGCGCGGGGCTCCGTTGGCGATCTCTTCGACGCCCCTCGACCTGCACCTTCCGCGCCTTCCGCGCGGAAGGTGGCCGCCGCGGCCGCCGCTGCGGGTTCGACGGCGGGCACGCCGCTGCTGCCGCGGCGGCGGCCGCGGCCGCGCGCCACCTGCCGCGCGGAAGGTGCGGCCGGTGCAGGTCGAGGGGATCCGAGGGCAGGGCGAGGGGGGTCCCAGACCTCACACGCCGTGATCTTGGCGTGGCGTGCCCCTCGGAAGTCCGGGCCCCCCTTCCTGGGGACCGGCTCCTCCTCCCGAGTCGTTCTTGCTGACGGTCCCGAGGCCCGGGAAGGGCCCCCGAAGGCCGACAAGAAGTGAAACACCTCCCGCCCCGATTTGTTCACAACGCGAGGGGGTTTTGGCAATCCGGGCCGACAATCGTACAAGGCGCCTGCCGACTATCGTCTGGCGACGACGTTTCGACTCCTCCTGGATTCTGTTCGAATGTGCTTTGACATGTTTTTCATTCTTCTCCTGAAGTCCACCTGTACAGTGAACCCGCAGAGTAAGGATGGACGACCTTCCCAAGGGTACCCTCGCATCCTTGCCTCTTCGGTCTATCCTGGACCACTCTCGTTGCCCGCGCCCTGCTCCAAAAGCTTCGACACGGGCGCCCGAGGCCCCTCTTGCATCCTTCTCGCGCACCCTTGCTCTACGGGCTGACTTCAGGAGGACATGCCCGACCTGAGTTCTCGCCCCAGGTATCCCATCTCTGCATCTTGTGCCGTAAACGAAACGAACCTCCGAGAGAAACGAACCAACCGATGCGCCGTCAAGGGCCCTTGGGTGATGCCTCCGGACGGTGGCCCACACTGAACGTGTCAAAAGAAGGGCCTGCGGCCGAGCGAGCTCGGTGACTAAACGGCCGTGAACCACTCCGCGCGCAGTGCACTGCGACTCCGCCTGGACCTCCTCCTCCTCCTCCTCCTCCTGCACCTCCTCCTCCTCCTCCTGCTCCTCCTCCTCCTCCCCCCCCCCTCCTCCCTCCTCCCTCCTCCTCCTCCTCCCTCCTCCTCCTCCTCCTCCTCTCCTCCTCCTCCTCCTCCTCCTCCTCCTCCTCCGGGCCGCGCCTCCGGAGCCCGCGACGCGCGGGGGGGGGGGGCGGCCGCGGCGCCCCCCCCCCCCCCGCCGCAGAGGGGGCGGCAGCGCGCGGCCCCGGCGCCTCCGCGTGGCCGGCCCGGCAGCGTGCCGTCGGTGGCCCCGGCACTTCTGGCTGCCTCGGTGCGCCCGTGTTGACGTGCAGCACGTGCCGTGCTCAAGACTCGGGTGTTGCTAGAGGTGCCTCTGGCCCAAGGTGCCCCCAGGATTTTCAAGGAGGCCACTGCGGCCTCCAGAGCACCCCTCACGAGGTCCAGAGGGCCCCAGGCGCTCCAAAATTGAGCGAAAAGCCGGGGGCACCTTGAGCCAGGGGCACCTTTAGCAACCCCCGAAAGACGTCCCGTGTCAATACGTTGCGTGTCGGCTCCACGCATCGGACCACGTGGCGAGTGTATCGCGTCGGACCTGCGTTTTCAGCCGACGTGTTGAGTTCCGTATCGAAACGGTACGTGTTGCGTGTTGCGTATCGGGGCAGCTGAGCCCTTTGGGTGCTCGTTTCGGGGACCTGCCTGGGACCCACCCAGCGGATCTGTTGGACTCTGGTGCGGCTCGGGTTCGGCTCGAGTTCGATTCAAGCTCGGCTCAGGTTCGACGCAGGTTCGACTCAGGATCGACTGAAGGTCGACTCAGATCGACGGACGTTCGACGGGGGACTTACGCGACACTTGGATGTGGCTTTAAGTCGGGCGTGTTCCTCTGCAGGAGGAAATTCAAACAAAAGTCAACAAATAGTCTGGGGACGACTTCTCTATTTTTTTTTGTGTGAAAAAACATGCTATTATTCGTTTTCTCAAAACGTCCGCCTGTAGGGGGACATGCCCGAACTAAACTTCGGCGACACCTGGATCTGGCTGGGGGTCTGAGGTGGCCCAGAACTGATTCTGGTGAGTAGGAATGGGGGGGGGGGACGAGGTTTGAGGTGCTGTGTTCGAGAAGGTTCTTGGCATTTTTCGGTCTCTGGAGGCCGTTTTCGGGCCTCGGGGCCGTCAGAAACGGAACCAGGCTGAAACACTGCGCCAGATGGACCCCAGGACGGGTCCAGGGAGGGTTTTTTGGACGGATTTGGGGAATAACCAATCCGTGTCCCCAATCCGTAGGCGTATGAGGACACCACGCAGCTCGCAGAGCTGCGGCGACCGTTGTGTGGCGGTCCCCACTTATGGTACGTAACACAAGCAATTACGTAGATATGTAATGTAATCCCACATATATGTAGACCGTGTACCTGGAGAATAGAAGACACCAGCCCAAAGAAGAACTGAAGTACAACATAATCCAAGTGTTGACACATGCGATCCAGATAATAACCATTGAATGCGGTTATAAATTATTGTCGGAGGAAGTGGGTGCCTGTGGTTTCTTGTGTCGGTGGTCCAGCGCACGCTGCCTCATGCTTGCCATAGCCAACACCATTTTTGTCCAAGTAGTCGTGGTCCTCCTGGTGAGGTCCTCTGTCGGCCAACCCAGCCGGCGGGTGAGGTCAGCCGTTGGTACCGCGATACCTTGCCGGAGGTCGGCGTTGGCTGTGCACACCCAGTACATGTGGTCGAGCGTCGGGACGCGCTGCTCACCACAGTGGTCGCAGGTGGTCGAGACCTCCTCGCCTTGGTTGGACTGCAGCAGGGCGTCCGAGACCACGCAGCCGCAGAGGACGGCGGCGATGTGTGAGGCGAGGATTGGGTTAGCTTTCCGTGCTTCCTGTGCCGCGCGCACGGCAGCAGCTGGGAAGGGCACTCCGGCCGCCATGGGGCTCTCCCGCCGGCTCCGGCCCTGTAGGATTGCCCATTCGTGGGATCGGAGTATGAGTCGTAGTTCGTGGAGCTGTCGGTCTGTTCTGTCGGTAAGTCGGAGTTCTCCCGCCGGGCCTCTCCAGAAGCCGTCGTCGCTGCGCTCTGCTCCAAGCGATGCCAAGTGTGCTCGGTAGGCGTGGAGTGGCCCCCGCGTGTCGGTCTTGATCGTGATCGTGTCCCAAAGCGCAAGTGCTCCAGGCCCCTGTCGACGTAGTCTGCTGCTCAGAAGTTGTAGTGCTCGCCGGCACAGGTGGTACCGTAGGTCGGTGCTATGCCCCATCACTACCAGACGAAGTAGTTCGGGAGCTGCCCGGGGCCATTTCCGCAGGGTCACAGCCTTTCGTGCTTGTCGTAGATGGTCCTGGATAGCTCCTTTTGTCGGTGGCGTCACCACTAGTGCCCAGCTCGACACCGGCAGCGCGATGGTGCTCACCTTGGTCGTGCGCAGCCGCATGCTCAGGGGCAGGCACGCAATCCGCTTCATGCGGGCAAGTGCCTCTTCAAGCTTGCCTCGCTCTCTGGTCGTGAGCGTCGTGCGTTGCATCGTGAAGTCGATTCCGAGGCATTTCATCTTCTTGCTCTGCAGGTGGTACTTGTCGCACTGGTGCGGTCGTATCGTGAAGGACTGCGTCTTGCTGTCGTTGGTGCGCAGCGCGGTGACCGACTCCAGCAGCTCCCACTCCTCCTCGATGCTCCGTAGTTCTTCTGCCTCTGTCGCGGCCGCCGTGCGGTCGTCCGCGAAAGTGCAAAAGGTTGCTCGTGGGTGCAGAGCAGCTTGCCGTCGTAGTGGCCCCATGAGCAGGGTGGCCATCCCGAGCATGGCTGCTGGATCCCCTTGTGGCAGACTGTCTTCAACCAGAATTGTCCGTGGTGTTAAGAGCGGGCCGACCTCAACCCACCTCTCCTGCTTGGTCCAGATCGCTTCGATACTGTTGGTGATTCTGGACGGTACTCCGAGTCGCGACCAAACCTCGCAGACGACCCGGGGGGAAACCCTGTCGAACGCGGAGGCATAATCCCATGACTTGACGTGCAGCTCCGTTTGTCGTTCCCGAACCAGCCGCTGCTCCTCCTCGGTCAGCGAGCCGTCCTCGTCGTTGTACCTGTTCGCCGCGATTGTCTCCTCAATGAGCGAGAGGCATGGCTCGATGAGGGATTCGAGGGTCCGCCCTTTGAGACCGCCCCCCTGCGTGGGCAGGAAAGCTGGGCTGAGGTAAGTGGCTAGTTGGTCTGCCCTCCATCTGTGCCAGGCGCGGACCACGGCGCTCGCGATTGCGATAGGGCGTAGTCGGGTCAAGCTCGGGAGTGCTGTGTCTGGGTCTTTTGGTAGGTGGACCTGCCGCCACTGCAGGAGTTGCGACGGCCATCCGTGGTACTCAGAGTATGTGCAGAGGTCAACCAGCTCTTCCAGTGCCTCCTCCGGGAGGAGCATGAGCTCCGAGGGCGCCCATTGGTCTGGCCCTGCTGCTGTGCCTCCGTGTAACATGTGGCGGAATTGTGCTGCCGCCGGTGGCGCCCAGTGGTCCCAGCAGCCAAGGGCTGCCATGGCGTGTCGTGCTCTATGGTCGTGTTGCTCCTGTGCTCGTTGAACATCTTGGCGTGCCTCCTCAATGTGGTCGTCGTAGTGGTAGAAATACCCGTCCACATCGTTGCCACGGCCGCATTCCGTGAAGTGCTGCTCGTAGTGGTCCCGTATTCTTTCCACCGCGTCTTGTGAAAAGTAGTTGGTGGGCGTGGAGTCGTCGTGTAGTTGCAAGTTCCCGCTGTCATGGTCGCTCTTGGTGTCGTCCTGCACCGTACGTTGTGGTAGGTGCTCACTGCGTTCCGGATCCAAGCTGCTGTGGTCTTCCCAAGACCATCTGCCTGGAGCCTCTTCCGCCAGCATTTGACACGCTCATTCTTGCACCCTTGGATGGCCTTGCCGAGCGCTTTGGTAGTTTGTTCGATGGCCTCTTGGTCGTCGTCCGGCTTGGCGCCGCCCATATTCTGTTGCCACAACTTCCGATTTTGCCGTTCCCACTGTGCTATCTTCCCGGCTGCTTTCCGCCCTCGACGTGCCGGCGGGGACCGGAGCCGTTGGATGAGTTGCCGCAGTTGTCGCGTATGCCGGGTCCAGACGTCGTCGCCTTTCTCCCGTCGTTCCCAGTGGGCAAACGAGAAGCCAGATTTAGGGACAGCGCCCTTGGTCAGGACCACCGCGGGTTGGGATTGTAGTACTGCCTCTGCTCGTGCACTCCAGTCCGTCCACCACTCGTCCACGGTGCCGTCATGGATGTCGTAAGCTGGTAAAGCCCTCCACTGGGCAACCAGGCCCTCCACGATGTCCCCATGGGTCGGTGGTGCTGCGTTGTGGGTCTGCTCGTGCTGCGTCGTGGGCATGCTGCGTGGTGCTGCATCTGCGCCATGATCGCGTGTTGGATGTTGTTGTGGGTCGTGCTGAGTTGTTGGTCTGCTCGTGCTTTGCCTCGTGGTCGTGTTTGCGGTGCCTTGTGCGTCCGCTCCTGCTGCGTCTTGACTCGTCTTCAGCGTACCGTACCGTGCCGCACGCCGCCACGAGCATCCGGCAGTAGGTTGTGGTGCGTCGAACTGCACATCCACCGTCACCAACTTATGGTCAGATAGTGTATGCGTGTTCGCCACAGCCCTGGTTGTTGTCATAGTTTTCGTGACCATGAAAAAGTCGATCTCCCAGCTCGATTCCCACCTCGTGGACTCTCCTGGGCTCTGGACCCGGAACCCCAGTAACCGTGCAGTTTCGGTAATGATGGGATCTTCCGGCGTAGTGTTGTAGCCGCCTGCGATCAGCAGTGGGATCCCCCCTCCTAAAGTAGCGCGCTGTTCTGCCACCCGCTGTAGCATACCATTCCGTGCGTCGTCGTCGTCGGCCGCCCGCAAGTGTACCACAGCCAGCAGTGCTGTACGGTGAGCTGCGTGGAGGTGAAAGATGGCACCCTCACCCCCAGCGACAGCCCCCCCAGTGCCCGTCCGGCGCTCAGACGCGATCCGGGTGACCCGGACACGGCCCGTCGTCAGCACACTGAGGCCACCACATTCGTCCCGTGTTCTACCACTCCTCCCGGTACCCACCACATGGTCGTCACAAGAGGTTCCACTCGTCCATACGTACCCGTGGTCAGCAGCGAACTTGCCTGCCCTGGGTATGTCTGCGTGCCGGCACCCATGCTCCTGCAGTACCAGCAACTCCAGCTCCAGCTCCTCGGCGGTAGCCAGAAGGTCCTTGCCATGCTGTGCCCAAGATGCGATATTGATCGTTCCCATCTTTATTGGCGTATTGGTCGCGCCTGCCCTCTGTAGTCCGGCTGGCGTGGTACATCCCGCAGAAAGGGGAAAGGAGGGAGGAGGGGGAGGGGGAGGGAGGACGGACGTGGGATTGGTCGTCGTGGCGGTTGGCTCCGCCTCAGCAGCGCCCTGCTGCTTTCTCCCTCTCCCGTGCCTCCCGCTTACGGCGCAGCCGCTCTGCTCGAGGCCGGACCTGGTGGACAGGCAGTGGAGGCAGGGCTACTTGGCTTTTGGCTCTCTTGTCCCGCCGACCTCGGGTATCCAGCATGCCGTCGGGCGACTTCTTCAGCAGAGTAGCCCCTAGCACCAGGCACCGCCATTGTTGGTCGTCGTACTCGGGGTGCTCCTTCAGCCGGTGCTCCCGCCGGATCTTCGTGTACGTAATTGTGTTTTTCGAAAAAGGCTGGCGGATGTCGCACACTGGGCACGTCCATGCGACCTTGTCGTCGGGCACGTCGTGGGACAGAAGCGGCACTTCCGCTGAAGGTCGGTAGTTACCAGCGTCCTGCCAGTTTTCCCCTGGGTGCCATTTCCGTAGGTGCTTCGCCCGCTCGTGTGTGATGTGGTAGTTCGGGTGGACTTTCCGTGTCTTCCTGATATGTTTCTTTCCCTTGCCTTTCCAACTCCATCCCACAGCGTGTGGCACGGTGTTGACAGGTGCCGTGATCGTGTCGCCACACAAACCGCACGTCCACGTTAGGCGTGTAGCTGCGTCGGTGCATGTGATTGCTTTCTTGGGAGGTGGTGGTCTGGTGGTGCTGTTGCTGCCGCTGGCCCGGGCTTTCGGTGTCGCCTTGCTGCCACTCGCGGCCCCCTTCGGCGTCGAGCGTCGGGTCGGAGTAGCTTTGGGCGTAGTCGCTGCTGCGCTCCGCGTAGTGCGCGGCGTGGTAGGAGTGGATCGTCGTGTCGTGCGTGGAGTCGCTGTGGGCCCCAGGTCGCCGAGCCACGAGTCCGGCGTGTGTCGGGTTGCTTCCGCTTCCTCGAAGACCGTGTCCGGGCCAAGGTCGCCATCCAGGAGTCCTCGGAGTCGGAATCTTTGTCTGCTTTCCGTGTAGAGCCACCGTGTCGGCATATCTTGCGGATGCGTTCCTCGAGCTGTGCCTTGCTCGGTCGTTTGGTCTCTTTCTTGTGCCTGGTGCCGTCGTCTGGCAGTAAAATGTAACAGTGGTCTTTCCACAGGCCCACGTGTAGGGGAGGCTGCAGTAGTGCTGCTCGCTGTGCGTCCGGAGACTGTGGGATCCAATTTTCCTTGTCTACCCAATTGACGTCGTTGAGCTGAGCACCCACCCCTGTGTATGTGTATATGTGTCGGTTGAAATGGTCACATGCCGCCTGGTAGGACAGCCCGTCGATCCACCGCTTCGGTCTTTTACACGCTGCGACGTACTCCTCCCAGGTGGTCGGAATAGCCCCGTCTTCCTTCCCCTCCCCCAGGGGTACGTGGGCCCAGTAGTGTTGGAAGAACTCATGGTTGTTGCTGATACGTAGTGCAAGTTGCGCTCGTAGGGTCTTCGCCATTCTCTCGAGCTTGGCGGGGTTCAGCGTGTTCTCCCGCGTGGCCTTGGCGACTCCCCCGAGCAGAGCCCAACCCGCAGCCAGGGCCCGGTATCCGCAGTCGCCTCCGTTGGAACCGGGGTCGATGGCTTCGAACGGGTTCTTCCGCTTGGGCGGCGGCTTCGCGGCGGGCTTGGCCGCTGCTTTTGCCGCTGGCGCGGCTGCTGGGCCTGCAGTCCCTGGTAGCTCTGCCGGCGCAGCCGCTGCTTCACCCCGGGCTTTCTTGATCCCGTCACGGACTTTGGCGTCTTCCGCCTCCCGTGCGGCTGTCTTCTTGGCCCTCTCAGTGGTCCGGGTCTCCTCCGCTAGGCCGTCGAGGTCCATGTCCTCCTGGTCGCACCGTTCTTGTCGTTTCTGTTTGTCGGTAATGTATTCGGCGTCCAAGTCCACGTCCATGTCGTGCACCCCAGGCACTGCCACGCCATCGGGTGCTGCGGGTGGGGCGGGCGGGTCGGCACCCCACCGCCATCTTCGAGTCGTCGTTGGTTGTGTTGTCTGGCCTCCCGCGCCGCGCACGAAGCGTTGAATCTGGATGGCTTGGTCTTGTCCTCTGAGTGTGATAGCCCAAGCGTCGACGGTGGTGTCGCTTCCAGGTCGGCGTGGGTGGGCCCGTACAACCCATGGCCCGTTTCTGCTCTGTGGCGGCGATTCAACCTGTACTTCTGCCCACCCGGCTGCTCCTAGCCAAGTTTTGAGTTCGTGGGCTGTCCATGTACGTGGGACGCGTAGGATCCGCCATGCCGCTGGTCGGGTCGTAACTGCCTGCGCGTCGTCCACGTCGATTCCCACCACACCAAGGTTGTTTCCTCCTCCATTCCGGAGGACTATTGTTGCATTGGTCGTTGAGGCCACCAGACCTTGTACACGGCGATAGTAGTCGAGGCTCGCGTCGTCGAACCGTTTAATCCAGCGGACTGGTGTGTCTGGGCCCGAGCGGTCCTTCGCAAGCACCCTGTAGAAGCGGCCGTGGGCTCCGGAAGCGGCGAGCACTGGGGCCAGCCCAGCCGCGGCGACCGTGAGGTACCCAATCAGGGCTACCAATTTTCCTGCTTCGAGGACCTCAGAGAAGGCTTCCGCTGCCAGGATGGCGTCCTTATCGAGATCTCCCGTCGCCACGGCGCCGGGCCGCTGGCGGGCCGTCTTCCATTGCGCGTCTGTCATGAATTCCTTGACCATTGTCACACGTACCGTGGTCGTGGCACGTACAGCAGGCGGCTCAGGGCCTTCCACTTCGTGTTTCGGTGCGTCAATCTTGGCCCCTTGAAGGTTGGTGCACTCCAGTTTCTTCATGCTCGGCCGGCCTCCTTTGACGACCGCTACCCACTGGGATGTGTCGTCGCCGTTAGCTGCCGTCGTTTGGTCGTTGTCAGGTGTGTCAGACACAATTACGGTCATGTTCTTCTGTACCCCGTGTACTTGGGCCAGTTCTGCCGCCTCCTGCTTCTGGACCGCGTTCAGCACTACAACGTCGCCGTCGGGCGCCCGGCCTTCTCGGAGAGCGTTTAGGACCGGACGCGCTGGTCGTACAGCGCCACGAGGGATGACCTCGGCGACCGTGGGATAATGGGAGCGGTCCCTCCCGGCAGAACAAAAGTAATTGAACGGATTTGGCTTCATCCCTCCTGGCCACATTGTTTGGGGGTTTCAGACTCTTGGCCGCCTCCGAAGCGTCACCACCACCACCACCACCACCACCACCACCACCACCACCACCACCACCACCACCACCACCACCACCACCACCATTACCGCCACCCACCGCCAGCGAGGAGTTCCACGATGCCTCCCCGAGCTGGGGATAGGGGATGATGTCTCGAGCGACGAACCAGCAGGTTTGTATCGTGACGGCCGAGGCATTTCTGGCGGGGGCTCGGGTGATCTATCTATCCTGCTTCTCGGGGTGCCGCTCGGCTTTTCGGCACCTCCCAGTCGGCCGAGCGAGGACCTCATCAAGATGCAGGACAAGGAGCTCCAGAGCCTGCGGGCGGAGGTCGCCGGGCTGAGGGAGGAGAACGCGCAGCTGCGCCGGCTGACGACCGACGAGGACAAGACTCTGTTGCTGTGGAAGGTGGAGGCGCTGACGAAGCAGTGCGAGGTGCTGCAGGCGTACAGCGACCGACTGGAGGCCGGAAGGAGCTGGGGCCTGGGAGTGAGATGAATGACCGAGGCACACAAGCAACATAGCGCACAGGAGTGAAAGGTGAAGGGACCGATGCCGCTGCCCTTCCTGCCATTTCCTCTTCCTGTGTATGAGGCTTTTGCGTTATCGTTTTCTCGGTCTCTCTCTCTCTCTCTATCTCTCTCGAGCTTGTCGTGGCAATGCAGTGCTGCGGGGCTTGCTTTCGGAGCAGGATGCGGGGCTGCTCGACTGCCGGAGCCAGTGCTGGGCCAAATCAGGCCCCCAGCCAGCTCCACACGCCAGGATCTCGGAGCTGGCCTTCAGGAAACGCCGGGAGGGCCGCCGCTGCCTGTGCTCATCGAGGACAGAGTAGCCCCTAACCCACATAATACGATGACGACGTGGCCTCACTGAGGTCACCTTTTTCGCATGAGGGCTGATAGATCTGGGCGGTTTGGCTCGATACATCTGCAGAAAAGGCTCCCTATCCGTAATGTTCTTGGCCCTCCTGAGTTACCCAGGCATCCGCTGATATGATTTCAAGGACAATCGCTGGATCGAATAAATATCATGTCCTCGGATCTCTGGGTAGGTCGCCTCCCAAAGGCTTAGGGGTTCTGTTATGCCCCGAGCTCCCCCAGAGCGCGTCCTCCCGAGCAGCTCCCTGGAGGCCCGCCGCGCTTGTGCCAGAGATCCAACGCATTGAAAACATCCGGACGGAGGCTTTTCGCAAGTTTCGGTCCCTGTAGGGGCCCTCGCCAGGCCTCGGGACCGCCATATATAACGGCTCAGGATAAAACACCGGTCAAAACACCGGTCCTGGGGAATGGGTCGGGGATCCCAGGAACCGCGTCTTGAGAAGATCACCGGCCTTCGGTCCCCGGCGTCCCGCGGCGGCAGTTTTTCGGCGGCCGTTATAGTTCGCGCGCCTATAGGTGATCAGGTTTGGCTCCTAGCCCGGGCCGACTTCGGACGCCGCCGGCGCTTCCGCTTGCCCTCCCCGCCGAGCGCCCCCCCGCGCGCGCCCTTCCGAGGAGCTCCCTGGAGGCTGCGCGGCTGCGGGAGCGGCAGGCCCACCGCGCCCAGCGGGCGGAGATGGAGCGGCAGCTGGCCACGCTCGCGGGCGCCCTGCCGGGGCCCGAGGCCTCCTCCCTCCCTCCTCCTCCTCCTCCTCCTCCTCCTCCTCCTCCTCCTCCTCCCCTCCTCCTCCTCCTCCTCCTCCTCCTCCTCCTCTCCTCCTCCTCTCCTCCTCTTCCTCCTCCTCCTCCTCCTCCTCCTCCTCCTCCTCCCTCCCTCCCTCCCTCCCTCCCTCCTCCCTCCTCCCTCCCCTCCTCCTCCTCCTCCTCCTCCTCCTCCTCCTCCTCCTCCTCCTCCTCCTCCTCCTCCTCCTCCTCCTCCTCCTCCTCCTCCTCCTCCTCCTCCTCCGCCCTCCTCCGCCAGGGGGGGGGGGCAGCTCGAGGTCCCAGGTCCCAGGCACGATCGCGCCGTAACTGAACGAAAATCAGGACGGGAGGTTTTGGGCCGTCTTCGGCCTGAGGGGCCCTCGCCGGGCCTCGGGACCGTCAAAAATCGATGCGGGATGAAAAGCCAGTCCCGGGGAGAGGGTCGGGGCTTCCAGGGACCCCGTATCGAAAAAAATCAGGGCGTCGCATGCCTGGGGGGACATCTCGAGGTTCGGAGGCCGAGCATTCAGTCGGGCATTTTCCACCACCGCTACTATATGTAGGACGGGGGAGAAGGGAGAATGAGGAATGAGGAGGTCCTCCTCCTCCTCCACCTCCTCCTCAGCTCGAGGTTCGGATGCCGAGCATCAAGTCGGGCATGTCCCTCAACAGGAGGAATATGGACACATCTGGGGACGATTTTCTAACTATTTTTAGCAATGTTATGATATTTTTCTGGTAATTGCCAACGTTTCTTCCAAAATCCGCCTGCAGTATCGCAGGCCTAGAGGTTGACACCAACACCAATATCGGCGGTGTGCCTCCACCGAGGGAAGAAGATCGTGATCTCGGTGATGGTGGTAAGATTCTGGCTTCCAAGGTGGCCGAATATGACCACCGGCACTGAGATCTAGGATCATCTTCCCCCTGTGGAGGCACCCCCCTGTGTTGGTGTTGGTGCATTTTTCCAGGCCTCCAAAGGGGGGGGGGCGGCTGGGGGGACAACTCGAGGTTCGGAGGCCAGGCATCCGGTCGGGCATGTACCTCGGCAGAGAAGTCATCGAAACATGATCTGGGGACGATCTCTGGACTATTCTCAGGTATTCTCGAATCGTTTCTGATGGTTTCTATTCGTTTTTCAGAAACCGCCTGTAGGAGGACACGCCCGACCGAAGCCGAGCATCGAGAGGCTCGCGGATCGAGGCTCGAAGGCCGGTCCTCGGCGATCGGCCCGCGTCGGACGACCTCCGCCTCTCCCCGGGGGCGCCCTCGAGGGCGCGAAGGTGATCGCGCTCGGCGCGTCGCGGTTCGGCCCCGACTCCTCCTCGTCCTCCTCTTCTCCCCCTGGCGGGCGGCGCGAAGAGCGCGGAGCTCTTCGCGCTCTTCGAGACGGCGCGAGGGCTGTGTCGGGCGTGTCCCCCTACAGGGGGACTTTCGACGACAAACAAACATACCCCGACAATGCCCCAAGAAGGCCAACAAATGCTCAACAAATCGTCCCCAGACTATTTTTGGATTTTTTGTTGGAGCATTTTTTTTTCTCTTATTTTTCGTCGAACATCCCCCTGTAGGGCGACAGGCCCGACTTCAAAGCGAGGGCGCGACGCCGGGCGCCCTCGTGGCCCATCCGGCAGCGGAGGCCGTCCCGGAGGCGTGGGCCCCCTCTCGGGCCGCCTGGGCGCCGTCGCGGAGAGAGCGCGAGCCCCGCGGGGCCGGGCGGGGCCTCGGCCGTCGAGAGCGGGGGCAGCGTCGGCTCGTCTCAAGTCGGGCCTGTCCCTGTCCCTCTACAGGGGGTGAATTTAAACCCAGCAGGAAATAGCCAGGGGACGATTTGTTGGAGTAGTTTCATCATGTTTGAGAATGCTTTGCTGATCTCTAATTTTTCGTCCACAATCCCCCTGTAGGGGACATGCCCGGCCTAAAGGTAGTCCAGGCCTCCCGGTGGGGTCGGAGGCTCGCGCTGCACCGCCGAGGCATCGGCGACGCGGCTCGATGTGGAGCCCGATTCCCAGAGGAGGAAAAGGGAACTCATACCTCTACCCTTCCCTCATGTTTCCCTTGTTAGGGTCTCCTGGGCGGCCCTTGTCGCCACCGCTGGACTCGCCTCGAAATTCTGGTTTCCTCAGGTTTCTCCATGCCGACGTCGCCGATGCCGCGGCGATGCGTCGGCGACGTCGCCGATGCAGCGCCGATGCACCTACTCCGACCCCGTCCGGGAGGCCTCAGATGAGGGCCTCCTGTTCGAGGATCGAGGATCGAGGTTTACACCCTAGGCGATGCTTAAGAAAACTTCAGTTTTTGGCCAGAGTCTCGATGATTCTTAATGTTTCAATGTAAATCCTAAGATTTTGATAGGAATGTTGGGTTTTGATTCAAGTTCTGAGACTATGAATTTCTTAACCCATGATTTCTTAAGCATTTCGCAGGGTGTACTCCGACCCCGTCCGGGAGGCCTCAGATGAGGGCCTCCTGTTCGAGGATCGAGGATCGAGGTTTAGGGCCTCCCCGTTCGAGGAACGAGGTCTATAGTGCCTCCCCGTTCGAGGGTCGAGGACCGACGCTCGCTTGCTGGAGCTTCCTCGTCGTCCCGGGGTGCCCCCGTGGCCACGGCCGGCCTCTCCCATAGGGGCCCGCCCCGGGCCTCGGGGCCGCCAACGAGACGACTCGCGCAGGCCTCGAGGCTGACAGCAGCACCGACATCGGCGGCGTGCCTCCACCGAGGGGGGGCGATCTGGCTTCCCAGACCCCCTCGAGTCATGAAAAAATCACGGCGAGAGGTTCTTCGTTATTTTCGGCCTCTGGGGGCCCTTACCGGCCCTCAGGACCGTCAAAAAACGACTCAGGATGAAAAGCCGGTCCTGGGGAATGGGTCTGGACCTCTGGGGGCCGCGTCATGAAAAAATCATGACGTCGGGGGTCTGGGTTCCGAGGTGACCGAAATGTTACCACCAGCACCGAAATCTAGGATCATCCTCCCCCTGTGGAGGCCCCCCCCCCCTGCGTTGGTGCTGGTGCCAGTCTCCAGGCCTCCAAGACTCAGGAGGAAAAGCCGGTCCCCAGGGAAGGGGTGCAGACTTCTGATGGGGCACGTCATGAACAACTCACGACGTCGGAGGCATGGGGGCGCAGCGGCATCGGTCTTTTGTTGCCCCCTGGAGGAGGCCAGGGCTCGCTCCGATTCCTTCGATTCGGTCCGCTTCGAGCTCGATGGCTTCCGATTCCGACTCGATTCGACCCTGGGGTTCCGACTTGGGCTCGGATTGATCGACGGAGGCCTCTTAGCCTGCCGAGCACCCCGCCGAGCCCACTCCTCCCGACGCGGCTGCCGCGTGCCGCCGATATCCGCTGCACATCTCGATGGCCGAGGCCGACCTGCCGGCTCGCTCCTCTGCGCCCTCCCTAGAGGGGGAGGAGCGGCGACACAGACCTATGGACCTCTGGACCGCGACCAGGTGTGGTGCCCGTCCGGGCGGCTCTTCTCCTCGAGGAGGAGAAGAAGGAGGAGGAGGAGGAGGACGAGGAGGAGAAGGAGGAGGAGGAGGGGGAGGAGGAGGAGGAGGAGGATGAGGAGGCGGAGGAGGAGGAGGAGGAGGAGAAGGAGGAGGAGGAGGCGGAGGAGGAGGAGGAGGAGGAGGAGGAGGAGGAGGGACTGGTCGGGCTCATGGGGGCCTGCAGGCCCAACCCGGAAGAGCCCGGGGCGAGCGAGGGGCCGTCCCCCAGGGAAGAGGCCGTGGGCCTCTGGCGCGCGGCGCGCCGAGGAATAGCACGGCCGAGCCGGCGCAGAGGCTCGAGGTCGCTTCGCGAGGAGGGCACCTTGGCGTTCCTCGTGCTCGTTGGGGTGTCCTCGTGCATCCTGGCCGGCGTAGAGGCTCGAGGTCGCTTCGGGGAGGGCTACGCTGGCGTTCCTCGTGCTCGTTGGGGTGTCCTCGTGCATCCTCCTTGGGGGGGGGAGGGCGCCCTCGAGTGTTCTTCGGCTCGGCCGGCGGAGGGCCCCGTGTTCTTGGAGGGTGCTGCTCTGCCGCAGGGAGCGCGCCCCGGGAGAGAGGCGCGGGGAGCAGCGGCGTCGGTGTGCGCGTGCTCCCCCGCGGGCGCAGCCCCGCGGAGGTCCGCGCGGATTTCCTGGGTCAGCGGTGCGCCGCCCCCGCCCCCTCGGGCTCGTTTCGATTCCTCCGGTTCGATTCGAATCGATTTCGATGGCTTCCGATTCCGATTCGGTTCGACTTGTGGTTCCGATCTGGGCTCCGATCTTCCACTGGAGGCACAATTACTGGCCTGCGGATGTCCGCCGATGCGACCTTTCCCGGCTTGGTTGCCGCTCTCCCCCGATCCGATTCACTTTGATCGCCGATCCGACTTATCGATTCGATCCTGGGCTCTTCTGCCCCCCGGGGCGGCGCCTCCAGCGCCGCCCCTGGCATGCTTCGTGCACCAGGGGAGAGGGGGGTCCAGCGTGGACCCGAGAGACATCCGCTCGGACCTCCGCGACGTTTTGTGCTCGCGGTGTGCCTCCCCACGGCGCCAGCACAGAGGGTTTGGTCGCCGGGCCTCGCCGCGGCCACCGCCCGGCGGGCCAGGGGCGGCGCCGGCCTGTGTCGTGTCTGGAGTGCGCGTGGTTGGCGGCGCGGCGGGCGCGCGTCGGCAGAGCCAGAAGCGCTGCCGCGGGCAAGCCCGGCCCTGGCCTCTGGTGGTGGTGGTTCGGGGGAGAAAAAGATACGGACACGTGTTGTCCCCCTTCGTTTTCGGCCTTTCCTGGTCCTCCTGGGGAATCCTCGTTGTCACCGCTGGATTCGCCTCGAAATTCTGGTCAGAACGCACCCCAAGAGAGGTCCGGGGACAACACGTATCCGTATCTTTCCGCCCCCCAAGTGGTGGTGTCTGGGCCTCCCAGATGTCAGGAGCGGAAGGAGGACGTACATGTACACGAATCCACGCTGGTTTCGAGCGCACGCATGGCACAAATCTGTGCGTATGAGGCGGCCGGTCTCGCGAATCGAGGGGCCGTGTTCATGGACATAGCTGGGCGCGTACGTCCTTTGTGGGCTCCCTGAGATGGGGTCCGAGCAGATGGGGTCGGAGGTTCGCGCCATATCGTTGATGCATCGGCGACGTGGCTCGATGCGGAGCCCGGTTTTCTCCGCGCCCACGTCGCCGATGCATCGCCGACGTTGCCAGGGTATCGCCGATGCATCGCCGACACATCGGCGACGAATGGGCGATGCGGCGCGATCCTTCGACCCCATCCACTCGGACCCTATCTATAGGAGGCCTCCATGATGGTGGTGGAATCAAACAAGCACTCGATCTGCGCTGGGCCCCCCCCCGGCGGCGCCTCTGGCGGCGCGCTCCGCGCGCCGGGGAGGTCGGGTCCAGCGCAAAAGCCAGGGAGTCCGTGCGGAGCGGCGAGAGTTCCTGCGCTCAGGGCGTGGCTCTTCGCTCCTCCAGGGCCTGGCATCGCTCGGACGTGTGCACCCTGTCTTGGCGGGGACCCTCGAGGAGCAGTTCGAGCCACCTTGCGCAGAGAGCACGCGCGACACCGGAAGCTGCACGGGGGCGGGACGCCCGAGAGCGATGGCAGGGATGCCAGGCGGGCGCACCAGCGTCGCCGCTCCCGCGGGCAGAGGCTGGGCCGTGTGGGCATGTGCGCTCGCCCCGCCGGCCACACACGAGTGTATATCGGAGGAAGAAATGGTGACCATACCTCCACCCCCTCGCCCCTTTTCCCATTTTTGGGGCCTCCTGGGGAACCCTCGTCGCCACCGCTGGATTCGCCTCGAAGCTCTGGTCAGAACGCGCCCCGGGAGAGGTACGGGGAGGAGCGGGATCGGTACAGTCGGGGCCCTGAAGAAGGAACCCTTTTCGTTGGGAAGTGGCTCCGTGCTCCTTAATTGTTTCGCAGCTGGCCTTGGATTTTCCTTAGGTTTTCGATGCGCAATCGAAGTTCAACTTATGGAGAATAGGGGCCTCGTTCCTTCTTTAGGGTTCCTTAGGTCAACGCCTCGACTGTACCTTCTGCTCTCCCCAGTGTAGCTGCCCTGTTCGCAGGCCCCCGGGCCCAGGATCGGCCGCGGGGCAGTGTGGGTGCTGATGATGCTTGGCACACGGCAGGTTCGTGCGGCGTCGGCGCGCGCCAGGGCTTTCGACCCCGCGTCGATCGTTCAATGGCCCTTGACTGCATCGCGGCCCCAGTCGTGCAAGGTTGGACCCCGTCAGGCCCCGTGTACTTGCCCTGTCCGCGTCGTCCTACCTTTCAGAGTTCAGCCTTGAGCGCCTCCGCCGGCGTCGCCGGCGCGCCATCGCCGCGCGAGCCTGCCGTACCCTCCTTCCAGGCGCAGGGTGCCGGGGCTGCCCCGGCGGCGCCCGCCGAAGAGCGGCGCGGGGCGGCGGGCTCTGCAGAGGACGGGGCCCGAGGCCTGAATGAAGCGTCGGCGCTCGGCGGCTCTCTGGCCTCGGGTGTGCCTTCAGCGGCTGCGCCTCGCCGAGAGCGTTCCCCGGGGTGCTCGGATGGCCCCGGACGGCCGCCGGACCCCCGAGTCCCAGACAACGGGCGTCTCGAAAAAATCGAGACGGAGGTTTTTCTCAGTTTTTGGCCTCTCGGGGCCCTCGCCGGGCCTCGGGACCGTCAAAAAACGACTCGGGATGAGAAACCGGTCCCGGGTAAGTGGACGGGAGGTCGGGGGCCCGTGTCTCGAAAAAATCGAGACGTCGGATGTCTGGGGTTACAGTCCAGTCAGGGTGGGCAGCCTTCAGGGTACCCTTACATCCTTGCCTCCTCGGCCCATCCTTGGCCACTCTCGCTGGCCGTGCCCCGCTCGAAAAGCTTCGACGTGGGCGTCCAAGGCCCTTGCATCCTTATCGCGTGCCCTCATTACACTGGTTGACTGTAGTACCCCCAAAACCACTGGGAGGGGATACCGATACCGCTGCCCGTTTCTCGTGGTCGCCTTTGTGGGCCTCCTTGGGGTCCGTCGTCGCCACTGCAGGATTCACTTCGGAATCCTTGCCGGAGTGCACCCTGGGGGGAGGGGTCTCGGCAGTGGCGGTATCGGTATCGTTTTGCTCTTCCATGCACTCGGCACCAGCACCCACGTCAGCGGTCGCCTCCACCGAGGGAAGGCGACTCCCGAGCTTGGCGTTCGCGGCAATGTTACTTGTTGTTTAGAGGCCTTTGAGATGGCCGAAGTGTCACCATCAATACTCCAGATTGCGTAATAAAAGGGAGGGGGTCTCATTTCGAGGGGGTCTCTTCCAGGCTATCTTGAAGGGCCTGGGGGGGTCTGGGGACGATGTTTTGGAGGGTTCTCCCACGGTGGAGGTCTGAAATGGCTTGTCTTGGAGGGTCCAGACCCCCTCCCTTTTATTACGAGATCTGGAGTACCAAGATCTTGGGTCTTTGATCTCGGCGGCGGTTCTCATGTTCAGGCCTCTCACGGGGTCGGAAGCAGCAGAAAGCATGGGCGGCTGTCGCCCGCCTCTTCTCGAAACTTTGCCCATGTGTTTCGGGGCTGGACAGAACCCCCAACAGTGACACGTCGATTAGTGAATTGTCCGTTTTCGGTTCTCGAGAGGGCGCCGTGGCCGTTATTTTCCAGGCTTGCGCCCGCCAGGTTTGGGCCTCAGGTCGTTTTCGGTAAACCACGTTTTGCTAAAGGGGGGTCTGTCCATCCCCGAGTGTTTTTACCCCGGCGGGGAGGGGGAATCAGCCTCAAGTCGGGCATGTCCCTCTTGAGGAGAAATATGCAAGAATAGTCAAAAAACGTCAGGGGACGTTTCTGTTTTGGACTATTTTTGACTATTATTGAATCTGTTCTTGACTATCTTTTGTTTCTTCCAGAATCCGCCTGTAGGAGGACATGCCCGACCTAGAGTCAGTGGTGGGAAGGAGCGTCCTGTAGCAAGTGCGGCTGATGTGCTTCCAGACGATGTCCTCTGCCCATAACTTCGCACACTCGCGTTTCCCTCTTGGCCTCGCGGTGGGGCGGGCGAGCCTTCGCCGACCTGCCGGTCCGCGGAGCGGAGCGACACGCTTGCCGTTCGCAAGGCATAGCGTGTCGCCGGGGCCGCCGCCACGTCACGCTAGGCAAAAGTTCCTGGCCGTATGTTCTACACAGAGTAACGCGTTGCGCCCAGGAGGAGGCGAACCACGAGCTGCTGGCCGTCCTGGAGATGATCGGCAGGTCGTGCCCGCAGGCGCGGCCCTTCCTGGCGCCCCTGTCGCAGTTCAGCTTCCTGGCCGACGAGGAGGTGGAGGCCGCCGAGGCCGCTCGGGTGCCCGAGGCGGCGCCGCTGGCCCGGCGCGAGGCGGCCGCGGAGGCCACGACGCTCGCACAGGCGTCCAGGCCACGGGCCGAGCCGGCCCTGCCCGAGGCGCCCGCCGCCGCGCGTGCCGGGGCCTCGGCCGAGGCCCCCTGCCGAGCCCTGCGCGCTCCCGCCGAGGGGGCCGAGGCGTCCCCGAGCGCCCCGCCGGCCCCGTCGGCTCCGCAGCCCTCGCCGGCGCTGCAGGCGCCGCAGGCGCTGCAGGCGCCGCAGGGGCCGCAGGAGCCGCAGGCGCAGCAGTCGCGGGCCGCGCAGGTGCTCCAGGCGCAGCCGGAGCAGCCCGAGGCCGAGGCGGGGGCTGCCGCTGCGCAGGCGCAGGCGGAGGCGCAGCAGGCACGGGCGCGCGCCGAAGCAGAGGCGCGCGCGCGCGAGCGCGCGGAGGCAGAGGCGCAGGCCCTGGAGCGCGCGGCGGCTGAGGCGCGCGTCCGCGAGCGCGCCGAGGCGGAGGCGCAGTCCAGGGAGCGCACGGAGGCGGAGGCGCGCGCCCGCGAGCGCGCAGAGGCAGAGGCCCAGGCCCGGGAGCGCCTAGAGGCGGAGGCGCAGGCTCGCGAGCGCGCTGACGCTGAGGCGCGTGTCGAGGCGCAGGCGCAGGCGCAGGCGCAGGCGCTCGCAGAGGCACATGCGCTCGCGCAGGCGCAGGCGCAGGCGCAGGCGCAGGCGCTCGCGCAGGCGCAGGCGCAGGCGCAGGCGCAGGCGCAGGCGCAGGCGCTTGCACATGCCCAGGCGCAGGCGCAGTCGCCCGCGGAGCTGGCCACGGTGCAGAACGGGCAGGCTGCGGCGCAGACGCAGAGCCCGGTGGCAGCGCCGCAGCCCTCTCAACAGAGCTGCGCCGATCTTCCGCCTGGCTGGGCAGCGTACACGAGCCCAGAGGGATACGTGTTCTACCACAACCAGGCTACTGGTGCATCGCAGTGGGAGAGACCTTCGGCGTAGTATGAAGCCAAGCGTGCCGTGTGCAAAAAACGTGGTGCGCGACACAACCTAGTCTTTCCTCTTCGCCTTCCCCCGAAGGAGTACGTGAG